CCTTTCTAACTTTCTAAGTTATTCTACGCTGAAAATAAATATATATGTGTTACGTATTTAACTATGTCTGTATTTAACTATGAATCTTAAGCGACACGAATATCTACTCAAAAGAAACTTAAGTAATAAAGAAAAAAAAAAAAAAAAAAAAAAAAAAATAGTCGAGTTGACATTGTACAGATTTTAAATTAGACTGAAACGTTTTATCTTTCATGAAACGTCTCGAGTTACACGTTTTAGTCTTCGAACGTGTAAATTATTAACAGCTAATCGATTTTACGAGTTTTAGAAAGCTTTAAAAGCCGTTTTCCCGTCGACAAAACTATGCCAAAAATCACGTCCTCTTACTTTCCAAGTTGGCAATTACGTTTTCAATCGTTCATCGTTATCGATCAATGACGAGCGATTTGAGAAACAAAGTAAAAGTAAAAAAAAAAAAAAAAAATAAAAATTAATATACCAATCAAATATTGTCTTTTTATGCTCAAAAAAATACTGGCATTCCAGACGGCATAAAAACTCGAAGTAAACTTCAGACTCTTTCCGTTATAGAAAAAAGAAAATACTTATAAAGCGAAAAAACATAGATCGATGGAGAAAAAAAAAAAAAAAATATTCGTGGTAAACATTTAATATGTTAATAGCATGCAAACCGTTCGAGATATTATATATTTCTCTTATAAAAAAAGCATTAAAGTTGAAGCACGTTGCGTGCACGATACGCGTTTAGAGATCGTTATTGGCCTGCAGTAACATCCGATGACGTAGAAGCTGTATCGAGACCCTGACTCATTGCCGGAGCCATGACCGAGAATTCAGTCAGGTATTTCCCCGCATGAATCGTTGGGATGGTGTGAAAATCACGTTCGTGCCATCGAGCACATCCGTGACACGTCGTGCGTAGGAGAATAAGAAGCGAAGGGAATCGCGCGTGAACGAAATTTCGTTGAAATATTCGACGTATTCAAGTTTCACTCACGATTATCATTACGAAGATTTTATATACATTCCTGATTTCTTGAATTCAATCGTACATATTAGATTGTGATAATTGCAACGAGAGATAAGATAATTTCAAATTCGATCAATAATTGACACTTTCGATCGACGAAATACAAAGAATCGAGAGAGATTTTTTAATTTTTATTTAATAATTTTTTTCAATTTTCAATTATAATTGTCATTATTTTCAACGTTAAAAAAATCTATTACTAGATAAAGAACTATTATGGAAAATTACAATTCTCGATAAAAAAAAAAAAAACATCGAAAAATAACTTATCCATTAGTACCTTATCTTTCGTATCATACTCGAATATCTTGTGTTTGGTAAATACGTCCATGACTTCGAAAATGTGTAATAAAGGTAATAAAGCAATAAACAAATCAATGGTTATTCGATTCGTATTTAATATTAATATGGATGATTGAAAAATAAAAATATATCGAAAATCATATATCACGAATTTTCGAATAAAAATAACTACGTATCTTTATATCGGCAAGGTAATAATCACCATATTTTTTATTACAATCTCGATTAATCGAGATGTTAATCAATTCGATCAGAATAAAAAACACAAGATATAAATGATAATATTTCGAGGAATTTCGTAAAATAAACATATAGAATATTTTTGCACCTGACGATAAGAACGATAAGTTTTATTGGATAATCTTCTCGAAGTCATTTATTTACGTTACTATTTTTTTTTTTTCTTTTAAATTCTTTAGGAGATATTTTTAAAAAAAATGTTTCATACGTTTTTTACGTTTTTAGATTCTCTAATTTTGGATAGATGTTTTCATATAATAATAACGAATATAATATAAAAAGAAAGTTAAAAAATTCAAAATTATCATAACATTGGATATTCGAACTTGCAAATTACAAATATCCATACTTTATAAAGCAAACACATTCTTACAAATTATTTAACGGATTCGATTCGAGACTCGGAAAAAATCGTATTATTTCCTCCAAGTTGTATTTCAATCGAGCCAACTCGAATCACTTTTCGAGCATTCTACTTTCGTTCCACAATTTTTTTTTTTTTTTTAATCCGGACAATTCTCGTAATATCTCGTCGCGGGACTAGTGAAGGTAAAGAGAGAAGATACGTTTTTTTCTCAAAACGAGAAGGGCGATGGATTTCGCCAGGTATTCCATCGATGTTTTCAACGATCAATTGGCGAGAAATTGATCGAGATTACGCGATCAGAGACTGAAAACGAAATTGATTGCGTAACCGAAGATAAAGAGTCGGAGAGATTTTTACCCGAGATTCGACGCGACAACCCGAATTGGCAATCGCGACGATTTCGAAGATACAGAGAGACGATTCTGCGTCGATCCATAGAATCGAGTCAAGGATAGGAAAGACGTTGCTTCGACGCTTGCTCGAGCGCGAAATAAATTATTTTTAAGTTCTCTCCGCTAAAATAAGCGCGAGCTTACGTTATCGTTAATCGTATCCCCGCTTTCGCAATCGATCGTTCGATTTTCAGGGAAATTTAATTACCAGCGTCGCAATCGATTCGACCGGTGGCACGTAAGCAATGCAAGTTCGGCTCGGTTGGATCGAACGGAACGGGTGGACGGGACGAGAAATTGGAAAGTTATCGCGCGTGAAAATCAAAGGGGTCACCGAATCCTTCCGCCGCTCTTGAAATTCTAATGTAACCGGCGCATTAACATAAAACGGGCGTACCGATGAAAGCGGCCCACTTGAAATTCCCAACTTTTCAGAATCGATTGGTCGAAGCGCGCGTGAAAACCGAAAGCGGGCATTTCTTCCCCCTCCCCCTAGTGAATCGGTAAACTGCGCCCATTCATTTGCAAGCCGAATCCGCGCGATCCGTCGTCGAATTCGGTTAACGCGAGAAGATGCCTCGTCTCGCTCTAAAAAAAAAAAAAAATTACGAAATCGTGGAAAAGAGAAATTTATTCCCCCCCCGATTTTGAATAGACACTAGATTCCTATAAATAGCGGTTTATATGAATATATAAATATAAATGTTCCAATTCGTTTTGGCAATAGATATTATCCGTCCATTTTTTCCCTTTTACTTCTTACTTTCTCCGACAAGAGAACGGAGAATCTTTGTTAAACTCGGAATCGAATCGTGTTTCTCGACGGAATCTTTCCTCGAGTTAGTTAATCAGGATAAGCGAGGTAATTTCGAATCGTTAACTGTAAAACGAATCGGCCTGATGAAACGGCGCCGTCGTTACGGTAAAATTTGTAAAAATAGACGAGGTCTCGATTATTGCTACGGTTGGCTAATACGGTTGTAATCGATTCGGTAATCGCGTCGTTTCCAACGATTATAACGGGTTGTTATCGCGCATAACCGATCGATTCATCGTGGATTTACGTAAAAATGATAGGATCGATCGAGAGAGATGGCACGTTTCTTCTTTTTCCTTTCGCCCCGTTACGAAAATCGTTTTTCGACTCGTTTCAATTTTAATCGACGGAAATTTCCCGAAAAATACGCGAGAACGAATCTTCCCTCTTGGCCTTTTTCCATCGTCCGCTGTATCTCGGATCCCCGCGTTGCTTTAAAAATCTTATCCTCGCGCGCGAGTTCGATAAGCGATGATCGCGACAAAGATGGAAAACGCGATGGAGCGCGGTCGGTTTCTCCGGAAAGCGGCGGCAACACGTGAATCCGAGTCACTCGTGCTTGGTTGGAAGGACGCGAGTGCATCCGACGCGACGCAGGCAAAAGCAATTGTGCAACCCGGCTTGAACGATCTCGCCGTCTCGACGCGACTAATAACCGGAGGGCAGCCATTGCCAAAAGCGGCGTTCCGCCCAGACACCACGCCACAAATTCGAACGTGCGCGTTGCACGTGATCCGATGCAATTACGGAATGAACGCTACACGCTACACACGCGTATACGTGCATCGTCTCACGACCGTGTCGCGTGTTCGTCGCGTGAACAAAAATATTAATTCAGAACGAGGTCCGAGACCCCCCCCCCCCTTCTCCCACCCACCTTGCTTTCATCCGCCGATTCTTCATCCGGACAAATATGCCTTTCCACTTTCCCTCCCCGTATATCGCGCGATCCGATCGTCTCCGACCGAAGAGCAACGCTCCCTTCGTCGCTTTCCATTCTTTCGCACCGCGTCTCGATATAAAATGCGGAATGCAACCTTCGACGTCGCGTCTCTATTTAAACAAAAGTCGAAAGGGAAAAAAAATTGCAGCCAAGGAATCCCGGACGGAAAAGAAAGAGAGAGAGAGAGAAAGAGAACGAGCTATAAATACCAATGTTGAACGAGAACGGATCGAGGCCTGTCGTCGTGTCGCGTTTTCAAACTTCGCTACACGAGCCGCGCAAAATATATATATATATGTACGACGCTTTTCTTAGAAGCGCAGGGATCGTTAGGAACGTCGACCGGCGAATAAAATTGCCAACTCTCCGCGCAAAGAACGCGCATCGTCCACGCTCGAGTCAAAATTTTTACGTGTCGATTATTTATTAATGGAAATTGCCGAGAAGGAAACGACTCGTAAATTCGCGACATGTGTCAACCATATGTCGCGATGTCAGCGATCCGAATAATTCGTCAACGACTTTTAACAGGTGCATTCCTCGAGGCATGTTGCTCGTGCCATGTTTTTTCTTATCACGGATTCTCAATGACGAGGAAGACATTTCGCGTTCGATTTATCGAAAATTCGAGATCCTCGTAGACGTTTGTAGACTCGTCGTTATCGAATCCAATTTCGACCGGTCGGTGTGTCGCAATCCTCGTTTTCGAGAAACGTGACTGTCATCCACGGTAAACCGACGTTGCATCATCGAGTCGAGTCGATTCGATTCGATTCGATTCGACCACACGGAAAACCTTTCTCCGCGCTGTTGCCCCAAATACCGATGATATCCTCGAATTTTACCGCCGCTTCTTTCCTTTCCCTTCTATTTCCCAATGGGAATTGCAAATTGAACAACGCGTCGATAGCGTTGCGAAAACTTACCCTGGAAACTTTCTTCTTCGTGTAAACCTCGTCGTCCTCCGAGGCCGTAGCAAAGTTCAAGTTCCCTTCGCAATATCCACCGCCTATTCCCATCCTGTATATCTCGTCCTTGCAAGATCTAGCATCCAAACTGAAAACAGAAAAAAATTATATAAATATAAAAACGGAAAATATTATACCGATTGCCTCTCTCTATTCTCAACGCGTTCCGTTAAATACGATTTCAAAATTCCTCCTGATCCTAATAATTTCGTAATTTCGACGTAAACGGTGTCGAGAATTCTTGTCGCGAGTCACGCACGCATACCGTTCCTTCGCGAAAACGAATTTCCCGCGACGAACGAGTTTCGTTCCCTCGAACGTCGCTTTCACGTTCGCGCGACTTCGTTCCGATAGCGAAAATTCGCAAATGCGTTACGTTACCCCGCGATATAGACGTGTCACGTCTGTAGATAGCGTCTGTGGAAAGTATCACGGTAAAGAAAAAGGTTGGAATTGCGGAGCGCGACGGATGACGGCCACGTGCTCATCGATCGAAGCACGATGAGACGTTCTCGAGACGGGAAAACGATCGTCGCCGTACCAAGCTCGCCCACACGTTCTACCGCTACATCTACCGCTTTACGTAACGTTTTCGTTCGTACGAGAGAACGTTTCAACGTCAATAACCCGACGCGTCCGCGTCCTCTGCTCCGTTATAGATTTTCCGCCATAAATAGAGTGGACGGAAAAGGCAGCGGTCTCGGCGCATTATTGATAACGACGCCACGGCAATGTCGTTCCTCGTAAAAGTTGCAGGTGACCGCTCGTTTCTTCGATCTAACTATGCTTCTATTCTTCCCATCCCATTTTCCCATGAACATCGACGTGATCGACCGATCAAACATTCTCGTCGATTATGTCCACGAATCCCATTTGAATCTCCGCTTTTTATCGATCGAGCTATTTATTTTTGCTTCGACGAGAAAAATTCGTATCGACACCGGATACGTGACTGATATTTACCTCGAATTTCGTAAATGTCGTATAAACGAAGAAACGATCCGCGTGCCAATTCGTCTTACGACACCACTACTTTTGAACGTGTATGTTTACCAAACGTGTCTATTTTGTGTCACGGCGCGCATAATTAAATCTACAAGTATCATAATAAGCGAACTTATTATAATACGTTCCACCTGAAGATTCTTGCTAAGAAATAAATGAGAAATATCGTTACCGATTAATCGTGCACTACCGTGTAATATTAAGAACGTGCGATTTTATTTGTTCTTCTTATGTGAATATGAATTTCTAAGAACGTTTATCTCTACTCTAAAGTAAAAATTGAAAATGAGATAAAAGTTTATTTGCATCGTGAAGTAAATAAGTTATTTGGTTAGTAAGTAATTCGTTGCATCCAAAACACGATCAATTTTCATCTTTATTCTACGTTTCATGTTTTATCGTATGAATATCGTTGAAATTTAAATCATCATCATTACATTTTCAATCTCTGTTCTCAAGAAAGATGAAAATGAATCGAGTAATAATACTCGTTGCTGATGATACGCGTTATTTGAAATCTTTGTGCAAAGTACATTGAACACGATGCGCATTTCAAACAAAGACGAGTGTCATCCTTGTTCCAACATTGCACATAAAATTTCCTCGACACGTGCTGCGTTTTTCTCAGCTTACGTTAAACATTGTGTCGAATATGTGTGTCAAGTAAGATTCCTGTGTTCAAGGGAAAAAAAAAAAAAAAAAAAATATCCGTACCTATTCTTTTTTTTCTACGTGTTTCGATGTAAGAAATTTCACATCGAAGCAGGATTCTACATTTTAATAACTTATTGTTGACACGTAATAAAATCACGTAAATATTTCATGAAAATTTTAAAATTGGAAATTTTATTGTATATTCTAAAAAAAGAATAAACATTGAAAATATCGAGTTGATGGCGTATATTAATTAAGTTATTTTAAAATTTATGAATATATATATATATAGAATTATTACATATGCAAAAGATTGTTATAATTCGTAATTTATAATCAACGATATGGAAATATTTGCATTATAGACTTTTTTTACGATATTTTTCAAGCAAATACTTATGAACGTTTTTAAATTACCGCTGCGTTTTCTTCCAGTCCTGTAAAATATAATAAATTGCAAAGGAAACATATTTGGTCGATAAGTTAGACATTGAAAATTTTTTTTGGATCAACGCCATCTCGCGTTTGGATCACCGAAGCTTCGACTTGTTATTGGCATAGCAGAATATGCGAGGAGGTATGCGAAGTCATAGACGAGGAAAGCACCATTGTGCGAGAAAGATAGAGAACATTTCCCACCATTATGGAAACGATACATGGAAAATTCATTAATTACTCGTTTCCTAATTAAAATTTCAATACTTTTAAACTCGCATCTTGAAGCTAGAACTTGAAACAACTTTCTTATATAAATTTTAATGTAAAATTCTTTTTAAATAATTAATTATTGACGCGTTTAATCCGTCATACGTTCTTATACATCAGACACCATGTAGAAAATTTACTAATTATTCGTTTTCTACGCAGAATTTCGGCACTTTTAAGATCACATTTTGTACTTAAAACTTCAGACAAGTTTCTCGAATCAATTTTAATGTAAAATTCTTTTTAATTATTTAATTATCATCAATTGTTGTGAAAAATCCGTTGCGAATCTTTATTTCGTAACAAAATAATAAATGAATAATTTATTCGTTTAAACATAATTTTTATTAATTAGCAAAATTGTAAGTAAAATATATACGCGAAAATTAGAGAAGAAAACGATGTTGTCAAATGCATATAATCATATTTACGAATAAATCTCATATTAATAAGAAATCTATTACGTTTCAATGTTGTTGATTCGATACGATGCATTAATAAGAAATGCAAGATAATTTCACGTTAAAATTGATACGAGAAATTTGTCTGAGGTTTTAACTTTAAAGTGTGAACTTAAAAATAAAGAAGTTTTTAATAAAAAAACTAAAAATTAATGAATTTTCAATATAACATTTTCGATGTATTAAAACATATGACGCGTATATATATTATTAATAAATCGTTAATAAATGATTAATAGAAATGAATTTTATATTAAAATCGATATGAGAAATTTCCTTCAAGTTCTAGTTTTAAGATACAAGCTTAAAAATATCGAAATTCCAAATAAAAAATGAGTAATTGATTAATTTTCTACGTAGTGTCTTCGATATAGTAAAAAGTACGACATATTAATCGTTAATAAACAATGAATTAAGAAAAAGTTTACATTAAAATTAATACAAGAAATTTGTCTGAAATACTAACTTTAAAATGCGAATTTAAAAGTATCGAAATTTTTAATAGAAAACTTGTAATTAATGAATTTTCAATATGGCGTATTCGATGTATTAAACCGTATGACGCTTTAATCGTAAATAATTAATTAATTAAAAAGAATTTCACATTAAAATTTATATAAGAAAGTTGTTTCAAGTTCTAGCTTTAAGATGCGAGCTTAAAAATGCCAAAATTTTGTGTAGAAAACGAATAATTAATAAATTTTCCATGTATTGTTCTCGTAATGGTGGGAAATGCTCTCTATCTTTCTCGCACAATGGTGCTTTCCTCGTCTACGACTTCGCATACCTCCTTGCACATTCTGCTATGCCAATAACAAGTCGGAGCTTCGGCGATCCAAACGCGAGATGGCGCTGATTCCAGAAATTTTTCCAACTTTCTATAACTTATATACTACGTTAAAAATTGTTCAAACAGAAGGACATGGTGCATATATCGATTAGAATTTTATTTAATTAAAATATATAACATAATTAAAATTATTTAAATATAAATAATATAAAGAGGATATTCTTAGAGAAATAAATGAAAAGAGAAAATATATATTTCATTATATGTAAGTAAATATATAGTTTATTTTTTTGGTTAGGTTATGAACTTTCGATTAATAATAAATCACAATTTTACAGTAATTATCCATTTATTATTGAGAATTAATTCAATGGAATGATACATTATATATATATATATATATATATCATATTAAATTAAAATCATAAACTAAACATACTAAGTAATCACTGAAAAAATCATTCTGGTTCCTTGATTTTTTCAATGCAATTTCGAAGATATGGATTAAATCCTAATCCAATAATAATTGAAATTGTTAAATTAATTTATATAAAAATATAAAGATTATAATAATAATTATAATAGAAAAATAATGAATTTGAAAACGCGAATAGCAATTTAACAATAATAAGCATTTGTATGTATTATTTGCTATAACGTGGCAATTTATGAAAGAAGGACAGAAATAGATTAAAAATTAAGAAATCAGCACAATCTCTACGTCATAGATGAAACTATGAATAAATCAGTGTAACATAAGGTCAATCGAAAAAATGTTCTAGATTCTACATTTCAAATAAATTTCTTACTATGATAAAATAATATATATATATTAATATATACATATTTATAACACTTTTTCAGGAATTAAAGAACGAAAGAAAGAAACTAAAATGGCAAAAAAGTGACATATGAAATTTTTTTTTTTTAAAATTGAAAATTTTCAAAGTTTCAATTAAAATTCTCAGTCAATTTTGTGACTTTGTATCAAGAAAATATAATCCAAAAAAATGTGGCACATGAAATTGTTTTGATATTTCTAAGAACAAAAATTTTAAATCAAATTTTATATATATACTTACATATAGAATACATATAGAATATTTATCTCTACATGTATACTTATCTCCTATTTTTTGCAATATTTAATATTTTTTTAAATTTTAAATAATTTAATAATTTTAAATTTTTTAATAATTTTAAATTTTATAATCAAAATCATATTATCAAAATCAAGCAAGATATTTTAGCTGATAAAGTTTATCCTATAATTGAAACTATTGAATGTAGATAAACATAGTATAGAAAATATATTTTTAACCAGTGTACACGGATGTAAGAAATATAGATTTTTAATTTTGATATATTTTTTAAAATCACGAAAATCTTTAATAAAACAATCGAAAAATTATATATAAAATTTATTTATAATTTGAATCATTAGTTAAAATTTAAAGATTTACTTTAAATTAG